TAGACACGAGGCCTTGGCTGGGAGATTGTAGCAGAGAGCCAGGCTGTGGCTCAGGTCATTTTTGCCAGGTGGCCAATGGAGATCAGAAACTACAAGCTGGACAGTCACCCAGGCCCAGCCTTCCCCAATTGATGCATGAGTCCCCTCTCCTTGTCCCTGCCCTGTTCCCGGTAGAATTGGCCACTCTGGCCCCCAAATAGGGAATGATATAGAAATGTCTTATATCCTCACCACACAATAGCCCCTTCCACGCAGTTAATGTTCTGATTTCTTGGTCTCCTCACCACATCCAGTTCACTCCCTGTCTGCCCTCGGGACCCAAGTACCGACACTAAGACTTACCAGCCATCAGCTCCATTTAGGGAGCTTCCATTCCTTTCCCCTTTGGAATTCCTCAGACTTTTACCGGAGAGGTCTGTGCTGCCTCTAGGGGATTATGGGACTATGACCTGGCCCCCTTGCTGACCACTGTTTTCTGGGGGCAGAGACACAGATACCTGCCCACCTATTGGAATGACATCATCCCTTCCCCGACCCCAGCTCACCTTCCAAAGGCACCTGGAAGTGCACAAACCTCATGCATCTCCTTCCCTGGGCACCAATAATGCTACTGGCATTGCCTGCTTCTCTCCTGTGGCTGGAAACTTCACGCTGACTTTGTTTCCACCTTCGGAATATTCCCAGACTAAACTGGGCCTGACCCAGCATACTCTGCCTTCTAGGAAGCGCCCAGCAAAGGGGAAAGTGGACAGGAAGAAGCACTTTCCCTTTAGTCACTCCACAAAGCAATAGCTCCATGAAAGGCCTGGACTTTGTTCCTCCTCCTCCATCCCCTAGGGAGGAGGTATCGCACTTTACCAAGCTGATGCATTCCTATAGAAGTGGGTCCATGATTCCTGCAAACCAACTATCATGATGATGACTTCATGGGAGGAAAGGTAACACATGCCCATCAAGGGCCCCAGATTTATACAATTCAGAATGCAGCAAACTTTTCAGGAAGCCACATAAATAAAAACTGATTAGCTTCCTTATTCACATGGGGAAGTTAAAAACAAACAAACATGTAATCTTGACACTGCTATTTCTGTAGCATTCTCAGTTCAAAAAAGGGATCCCCTTCAAAGGCTGCCTTTATGAAGCAGAGACTTCCTTCATAGTGAAAGAGCATTAGAGCAGGAATCAGGAAAGCTAGATTTTCTTAATGGCTTTGTACTTGGCCTCAGTTTCCTTATCTATAAAATGAGTTCTTTGAAAGGTTTCTAAGGGTCCTAAATCTGGCATTCTAAGATTCTTTTTCCATCATCCCACTGGGTGGTGGTGGTGTGATTCTCGATTTTATAAGGTGTCAGTCATCCAAATGGGTTTGGGGAATGTGTCTTTTGATGGTTTTCCTGGGCCCTTTTAATCGTGAGGTTGAGCTCCGTTGGCTTCATTTTTCCAGTCTGTAACATGGTTAGATTGATGATCTCTGCAGCCCTTTTTGGCACCAGTGCCATACAGTATCTCCTGCTTGCACTTTCCATAACACCAGTTGGTGTGTGTCCTGTTTCTATGCTTCTTGAGTCATCTTTTCTGGCTTTACTCAGTGTGGGAATCAGTGTTCATCCCCCCTATGTCTGCATCAGACTTGGCAGTCCTGGAGGCTTGGGGAGCACCTACCGTCCTTTCAGGGACAGGAATGTTTTGCTCCTGTTTCCGTTTTCTGGAGTTTTGCCAATCTCAAGGCATTGTCATGAGGCTTGCCTGTACTTCACATTGCTGCCTCAGATGTTCTACTTCAGATGCAATTTTCAAAACCTCTTCCTACTGACTTCTCCTGGGTCACCAGCCAGAAACTAGCTTTCTCAAGGCTGCAACCTCTCACTTATAGCTTCCCTATCATCTTCACTGGTTGGCAACCCTGACAGTCCAAAGGAAACTGACTTCTATTTGTGGTCAACTAAGAGTATAGGAAAGTCTGTGGCTCTTCTCTGCTGGTGGAAACACGAGTGCCAAGCCATGCCTTCAAAGTTCTCGCTGATAATTCTCATCTTGGGCACTGGAGCCCTGGATTCTGGTGCTGTAGCTCCTGGTGCCAAAGTCTGGATCTTTTCACATTTCAGCAACATCAACATCTGCCGCTACCCAAAATGCTGTGTGGAAGAGGGACAGCTCTGATACTCTCTCACTGGGGCGGCTATCTTAAAATCTGAGTGCAATAAGGTTTGGTTGTACCAGTTATTTCAGGATATTTTGTTTCATCTGCACATTTTCTAGAACTGCTGAAAAATAGATTTTAAAGAAATGTCCTCAGCATTATAGAAAATACCGTTTGTAATAGCCTGTGAAGGCTATAGGCTCAGTTATCTTGGGCTTCAAATGGCTGGCAAGGCTGGCTCTCAGATCCCAAAGTTGGAAGACACGTTTTTGAAAAGCAACCTAGGTGAGACCATCTGGACCCAGGCCTCACCATCAGGGGTTCTGGGAGAAACATCCAAATAAAAGGGAGACCTGGTAGTTGAATAGTTCTCTAATGAAGCCAAATATTCCCTGTCCCAGCCAATAAACCCACTTTACGACAGGCCTTTTCTGCAGCTTAGCTCGGAACTTTGAATTTTCCTGGCAGGTATGTGGTTGTGGGAGGGTCCTAGTGAGGCGGGGAACCTGGCTCTCCAGAGCTGCTTTGCTGGAGGAAGTAGAGCTGGCCAAAAGCCAGGAGCTGGTCTCTTCTACCTGCTCTCACCTGTCTCTTGCCGATCTGGTATTAAAAACAACTGGAGAAAGCTGCAGGGATATGGGCAAAAGGAAGCAGTGGCTGTTTCTGCTTTTGAGTGGCAGTGAAGCAGTTATAATGTGGGTTACAGGGATTTGCAGTGGGGCCAAGGATTCCAACCTTGTCCACAGGCAAGCTTGCACATAAATCATCCCTCTCTCCCGGGGTGTGAAGGGGTCTATATTGATCTTGGACTTGTCATCCTGGAGCAGTTTTAGTTCATTATATTTAGTGGGTTAGTGCCAAGTGCTACCACTTTCCAATAAGGGAACAGGGACCCAGCCTCTGGTCTGGCCCCTAGCTGCCTCTGTTGGCGTGGTGTTCTGTTTTGTTTGGTTTTTGGTTGTTCAGACTGCTTTGGAAGAGCTGCTTTTAGGGATTATCTTTTGAATACCCTGCGTGGGGAACAGGGTTCTCCTCAAAGCCTCAACCAAGATCATAGGAAAGGGGCCCTATTTTCCTGCTGCTTCACAGCTCAGAACAATGTACTGAATGGAATGTATTTTTAAGAGAATAAAGTCTATTTTTTGTATTTTAAAGATTGGGAGGGCTAGGGAAGTAGCCCGCAAAAACTGCTATTACATTATCTGTTGGTCCACACTTACTTGCTCAGGCAGGTGCTCGGGCCTCCCCGCCTGGCCCTTGGAGTCTAGGTGCAGCAGCTTCTACATTCCTGCTCCGAGCATGGGACCAAGGAGGCCGGAACCCTGCCACTGGAAACCAGGGCAAAGCCGTGAGCAGTGACTCAGGGCTCCTTGGGTGCATGTGTCTAGTTGAAGCTGCCTGTCTGCATGTATCCTCTGGCTCTCATGCTGTCTGTCGGCTCTGCAGCACAATATGTAACCAATAAAGCTCCCTAGTTTCCATGTGTGTGAGTCAGTGATGCCATTTGTGTTGATGTCATCTCTGCATACAACTTTTCTATGCGTTGGTGCAGCTAGTATATTTCACTGTATTTTATTTAAAATTATCAGCCAATTACTGGTGCTGTAAGGACTGGAAACATAGCTGAGGCTTAGTAAAGAACATACCTAGAAGCCAGAACTGAATTGGTATTAGAATCATACAGCACCTATTTTATTGCTACATTTTATTTTTAGGCTTGTCACACACAAAACAATCTCTCAAGGGGCCTATGCCATCTATTTAAAAAACAAAAGCACCTAACACTGGTTCAAACACCTTAACCACCCCCTCCCTGCCCCAAGGTAACAATATTAACGGCCGAGCTGGGCTCCAAAGTCGTCATACTTCCCACTGTTTGCTGCTCTCACCTTTACATCAATTATACCACTTGCTCTGATCCTGGTGTGCAAAATTTCCTAATTACTGTCACTCATTCCAAGACTAGGGAAAAAGCCTTCCACTCAGACCACCAATGTAATATCCCTTAAATCTTACTAAGAATAAAACCTCATTTAGGGAAGAATTCACTAATGCAAGTTAACTCCGATTTCTAGAAGCAGATTATACACTCGCATTTAGTCTGCTAAGAGCCCTTGGGTAAGGAATAGGCAGACATTCTGTTCCTACAAGTTTTTACCTTACATGGCAAAAGAGACTTTGAAGGTGTGATTAAAGATTTTGAAATGGGGGAGATGATCTGGGTGGACCTTAAAGTAAATCACAAGTATCCTGAGTGAGAAGGAGGGGGATCTAAAGATCACAAGTGATGATGGAAGCAGAGATTGGTGTGCTTTTTAAGATGGAGGAAGGGGCCATAAGCCAAGGATACAGACAGCCCCTAGAAGCTGAGAAAGGCAAGGAAATAGAATCTTCCCTCAGAGCTTGTTAGTAATTTGTTACAGCAGCAAAGTTACCTAAACCCTTGATCTGCTCCTTATGTAGAACTTGCCAAAACTTTATACCAGTACCTTGGACAGAATTATACCAGTACCTTGGACAGAAGTACAGTTAGACATACCCATGGAGGGAATCTGGAGAATAAAGCCAGGATAGTCTGTAGAGGACTACCCAAACTTTGTGTTGTCTTGTTTTGAGAATTCAAAGTTTCCCGATATCCATTCCCCACCCTTTGTGGGGAAATCTAGCCTCACAGACCAGGAAGCCCACTGTTCTAGCCTCACAGACCAGGAAGCCCACTGTTCTATAGGAGCCTATCTTCTGACCAAGTCATTTTTCTCCTTTACATAAACATCCTGCTTATGTAAACAGATAAAATTAACATCTCCAACGGAGTAACACTCATGTCTTGTATACAGCTCTAACCCTACGGGAAAACAAACAAAATATAAAAAAAACTACCACACCAAGAGACTAACATGTTCTCTCATAGCACTTGCTTGCCTCCGTCTTGAAGAACACACACTTCCACACTAAATGGACAAGTGCCTTCATCCCTGGCTCCAAGTCACTCAAAGGAGACCACCTCCTGGGCCACCTGGCCATCCTGAACTTCGGCAACTGACGGGAAGCCCAAAAGCCAGGGCCGGTTTCTCAGGAATCTATTGCTAGAAGAACTTTGCTTACACAGCAAAAGACACACACGTCCGCCTCTTCCCTTAGGGTACATTTGTTTCAAATGCTTGGGGACTGCTGTGCAGGGACACCTGGTGTGGCCTGGCGAGGCAGGGTGTACATGGCTCCCAAGAATTGGTCTGCAATCCTTCCTGCTTCTCGAAGGCCACTCAGCAGAGCACCATGGACGGTGGCTGGGTAGTTACGGATTGTGTGTTCTCCAGCAAAGAAGAGTCGTGGAATTGGCTATTTGAGGAAAAAAAGTTAAGAGGAAATCAGCACGTTGCAAATATACCTTTGTTGTGTTTAAACTTACAAATTTCTGTTGGCCTTTGAGGCTGAACTCATCCACCCCCAAACCACTAGCCCATCATTCTACCAAAAAGGGTCGCCCTTAGGAGCAGGCGTTTTATTAGAACTGACAAAACTAGGCGGGGACAACAAAACTCAGCCCAGCCTCAGTTCCAGAGTGACACGTAATTGCACCTGTCCTCACATTCCAGTTTAACTCTGGGGACACCCAGTTCTAAAGCTTACTTTGCCTCATGTAGTGCCTGCTGGAGGTGGGGGTGACTGCCCTGAACCATAGAGCACACGGCCTTTGTTCTCACTCGGCTCAGAGCAGGTCTTCCTTAGCGCAGGTCCCGAGAACACACACTACTCTTTGGAGCAGGGTCAGGCATCGTCTAGGTAAGGGCCCAAAGTTATTTCTCAGGGGCATCCCCGGGAGATCCCTAGTGATTGGGAGCCTGCAACAATCCTATGAACCATTACAAAATGGGGTGCAATTAAAAACTTTTTATTTTGTTTTATAGGGACAAAAATCTGAATACAGACTGTTTAGACTTAACAAAGCCAAAATGTGCGAAACCTGATGCAAAAGATAACTGCTCCTCCCTTTTCCTCTGCTGGGTTATGTGAAAGGGTCCAAGACTGACTAAATCTGTAACAGTCAGTGGCATTTTTACCCTGAGAACCTGGGATATTGGCCTCTTCCCAAATAAGCCCCGGTACAGTTTGTTAGTTTCTCACCTGTGGGGCACCTGGAATTGAGGGGCCAGGAGTGATTGGCTGAGCCATTAAATCATAGTCATTCCCAGATGAGCCTGCAGCCACATAGGAATAGGAGCCCCGGGCCCAGGGATCAGCACGCCAGCGAGACACCACCGTTTCCTTGGGCTAAAGAAAATACCATTGGCAGAAGTTACTACTGGACACTAAGGACAGTAATATCTGAAAGGTGGACAATGATGGTGAGCGGAGATACAAGTTCTGAGAGAGCTGAAGAGGAAACAGACATGAGAGCCAAGTGGTAAATGCTGATGCTTTAAAATATATAACAGAACGCCTTCAGACTGCAACGAAGCCTATGTCTACGAATCCAGAGCTCTACCAAGGACTTGATCTAAATTAAATTCTCTCTCCCAAATTCACATGAAGTATTGACATACCTCCTTTCAAAGGAATCATAAGGGTCTATAAGTGTTTCAATGGGCCTAAAGATTAGAAAAAACTACCAAAAGATTCTCTTAAGACTTCCCTGAGGGAGTTTGGCCACTTTGAAAGGGGGGGTGTGGTGGTGGTGGTGGTGGTGGTAAGAAATGCAGCAAATAACTTTCTGAATCCCACACTTAGGCATGAACTCCAAACATTAGCATTCATGTAAATCCATACACACTTCTCAATTCTGGCTGAAACTGTCCTGACCAAGCACCTGTGCTGCAACTTAAGAGAATATGTCAAACGTGTCTTTTGTCCAAACCCCAGGTCCCCGCTTATCCCCACTCACTTACCTGGGGCACTGCACTGCTACCAAAAATCCCTTTGAGAATGGCCAGGCATCGGCCAACGATCACATCATCACTTATGTTTTCCATGATGCCAGCAGCTTCTCCTGCCACTAGTGCCAATAGTATTGGAGCTAGGGAAACAGAAAGGACAATTCCAGGGTTTTCCTACAAACTTTTCTCAAGAACCTCCTTAATGGGCCCATTATTCTTGGTGCTCTGAAATCTGACAACCAATAGACATGCACCTCTCAGCTAGAGACAAGTTGTTTCTGAAAAGGTAACTTGAAATCTACCCCCAGAAGGGAGCTGGCAAACTACAGTGGTGACTCGTGTACTTCACTGTTTATAACTGCAGATATCATTTCAGACCTTGTTAACAAAAGAATACAAGTATCCCTGTGTTGAGACCAAGAATTCTTAGCCCTGACCACTGGGGACAGCTCCGCAAGGGTCACCCTTTCAGCTATCCCAGGTCCCTCCAAGCCCATCACCACCTTTACTCATCTATTTGGTGACTATGCAGCAGACTTAAGGGATAAACACAGTAGTCGATGCTGGGGATATAAAAACAATAATTGACTACTCCACAGACAGACAGATATCACAGATATATAATTATGAACTGTGGTAGAAGCTATTGAAGAAAAACACAGGACACAGAGAATTGAGATCTGAAGCAGTGGAGGTATGTGTATCTTGGGAGTCCTTTTGAAATAGTGACATTTAGGTGAAGACCTAAAGGCTGGGCAGAGTAAGCCATGTTGGGAAGGAAGAGAAGAAGAAAAATGAAAGCACCCAGGAACAGTATTTCAGGGCAGAGGCCCTGAAGTGGAAAACAGCAAGGTGCAATCCAGGATTCCAGAAGAGCAGCAAGGGTTCCTGGAGCCCAGAGAGTGGGGAGGGGTGAGGATGGGTTGGGAGGAATGAACAATGAGGAAGCTGAAGTAGAGAAGGGCTAGGTTATGCGGGCCTTCTTAGTAATGGCCAAGATAATGGAAAGCCCTCAAAAGATAGAAGCAGGGATAGCAGCTAGTGGCTACTGGCAAAACTAGAAAGCAGTTACCTTTAAAGAGGTTCCAGACCAGGAAAAGGTAAGAGGAGAGAGTGGCTTGGACTGGGGAGTGGGCAGTAGAAAAGAGGAGGAGCAAATGTGTCTGAGAGAGATGGTGAATCGAGCACTGAGAGGACTCGACAGTCTGGATGGGGGAAGGGAAGAGCACTCAGCTGCTGTCAGAAAGCAATGTGCTCAGGGAACAAAGTGCCTCCTCGGGATTAGTGGCCCTGGCCACCTGGAGGTGTTTTAGAAGCAGGCAGTGAGGGGTGACGGGAAGAACTGGGGTGGGACCCAAACTGTTAACTGATGTATCTACACTGTCGAGGCCATGCCTACTGATACTGCAGCACAGTGTATGTCTTACATTCTTTTCCTGGAATGAGGTAGAGTCTAGATATACTTTCTTTTTAAAGCTCTGTATAGGAATAGGAGCAGTCCAAATATGTACAGAAGAAAGTACAGTGGGAGGTAGGAGCTTCAAAAAGGGAAGTGATTAGAGATTCAGGGATAAGTCAGACATGAAAGTGTGAGCATGAGGAATACAAATTTCCCTTCCAGGAAGCCTCCCAGGGCTCACCCTTGCTGGCAGGGCGGCCCCTTCCTTTTGCAGTCTCTGGGCTTTCACCCTGCTGTCTCCTTACCGCCCTGTTCTGAGGCTGCCCACCTCCTCATTCTATCTCCCACAAGTTAGTTGTGGGCTCCGTGAAGGTAGGGTTTTGTTTTTTTCCATATCCCTAGCATCTATAAGGGATTTCAGGAATTGCTTATAGGGTTAATGAAAAATCAAGACATATGTGTGTATATATATATTTGAGAAAAACTAGAATATTCCTAATTCTGTATTCCTTTAAGGATATGAGAAAGATCAAAACTAGAAAGCAGTTACCTTTGTAGAGGTTCCAGAAGAGGAAGAGCTCACCCCTGCTAGCAGTCGTACTGCCGACATGCCCGAACAAATTGACACTTGGATCCCAGAACACCCGGTCAAAACACAACACCACCTATCACAAAAAAGAAACACATGAGCTGGCAGCGGGGCTCCGAGAATATGGCTTTAAGCACAGCTATGCCTCAAAAGAAAGCACTTCTTCTTAAAACATTATTTAAATTTCTTCTAATCTACTCTTTTTTTCTTCTTAAATTTAAAAAATATTTTTACTAATTTCATAGAGGAAGGGAGAGGGAGAAAGAGAAAAAAAAAAACCATCAATGATGAGACACTCATCAATGGGCTGCATTCTGCACGCTCCACACTGGGGATTGAACCTGCAACCTAACCACGTGCCCTGATCAGGAATCGAGCTGTGACCTCCTGGTTCATAGGTCGATGCTCAACCACTGAGCCACGCCGGCCAGGCTAATATACTCTTACTATAAGCCTAGAAATCCTTATTACAAATTTATTACTTAGGATGACATTTAGGGCTCTCCTTTTATATATAGGCTTGGGTTTGTGAAGTGACCTCAGAAGACTAAGTTCTCAAGGATACTTTATGCATAATTAGGCAATAAAGTGAATGAATGGACAGGACTCACCCTATATCAGAATTGAAAGCACAGCAAGATGTATAAAAATGCAAACCCCTCTCCTGTCCCAGTGGAGGGCAGCTAGACTGGTACTTGTACAGTGGGCACGCGAGAGGTGTGGAGGGCAAGTTACCTTGTTAAGATTGCCAAATCCCATCCTTTGAACTGCAGATGTTTTCCACTCGGGAAGAGGCGGCACAAACTGGACAGCTGGTGGCTGCTGCTTCAACACACCCAAGGGGAGGGTACAGAGAACCGCATCACATTTATAAATAAAGGTCTGGCTGGTGGAGCGGGTATTCACAGCTATCACTTCACATCCTATCGGGGTTTGAGGGAAAAGACTACTGGTGAGGAGGGTGGTATTGATGAGGGTATGAACATTTAGTGTACAGCAGGCTCTATACGCCATCCCAGTTAATTCTTCACACAAGTCTATGGAGTCGGTTCTACCCACTATTTATAGAAGGCAACTGAAGCAGAAGTGAAATAACACAGGTAATAGGTGCCAGGATTCAAATCCTAATGCTCAGAGTCCTCTGATCTTCACCATTGTACTATCTAACCTGCCTGATACAGAGATCTTCTGGACTAATAAAAGGACCTGATAACTTAATAAAGTTAAGTAAATTTAGACCAACATTCAGAGTAAAATGTCTGTCCCAAGAGAACCAATAACTCCTCACCGTGGGTAGGTGCTCGCGCATAGGGACAAAGAGAAGAATGATAGCAGAAGCTTGCGGTACAGACCCAAGGGATGCAGCTCAGAACCGTGGAGCTCGCTATTCGAGAATGCACTATGATGCTTAGCTTGCCAGAACATGAAAGAGCTCAAAGTTGGCCACAGAAAAGGCACTGAAAGTAGGTTAATCTTATTTATTCTCATGTGAGCTTGATGTTTTTCTTCATTGAATGCTTCAAAACTATACATAAATAGTTCAAATAAGTATGAGATCTCATTACATGTCCATTTTCTTTCTTTTTTTTAAATCCTCACCTGAGGACTTTTGTTTTAAAGAGAGAGGAAGGAAGTGGGGAGGGAGAGAGGAGAAGGGAGCAGAAGAGAAACATCAACCGGTTGCCTCCTGTAAGCACCCTAACCAGGGACTGAACCCACCACAACCTAGGTATGTGCCCTGACTGGGAATCGAACCCACAACCTTGATGCTCCAACCCACTGAGCCACCCAGCCAGAGCCATGCCCATTTTCTGTGGTCACAGAACTAGAGAAAATGACAGAAAAGCTATTCTCAACTATTCTTCATCTGCAGCGCAAATGAAGCGGTATATCTTTTCAACATCATCAGCTAGAAGCTGCCTCTGAAGGGGAAATTTAAATGGAAAATGGTTTCAGCAATTATAAAAAAAATATTTGTGGTGGTCTTAAAAACTCTAGAAAAAGGGGCCATGGAGGGCAAGATTAGTGGCCACATTTCCATTTGTGATGAGGGCCCTCAGGGAGGGGAGTGACTAGTTAACATAAGGAGTTCAAGATTACTAATTCCAAAGGTGGGTGGACAACGGATTCTCTGCACTCCATATTAAACGTACCTGAAACTAGCAATAATGAGCACTGAGCCTACTGTCACAGTAATCAGGGCAATCACAAGTCAACTTATTAGCAGGACTGCTCCCAGAACGAGAAAGCAGCCTGAGCCATTAGCCCACCAAAGTAGGAAAAGCCAGAATGGATCCAAAGACCCTGTTGCAAGATGGTGAAATACAGGGTGGGTTCCACTGGAGACTAGGGGCCCAAGTTCTGGCATTTAAGAATATACTTAGCAAAATTAAAGCCAAACTTACTGGCTGTTATTATAATATCAACTAATTCATGCACAATTTGTAAACTAAAACTTGCCTCAATTTTCTGGTTTATACAATGATGGGGTTATAATCTCCAAAGGCTCTATGGGCTCAATCCTTTTGTAAATGCAAATTTTAAAATTTAGGAGACATAGTTTATAAGACATTCTATCAGGAAATGACCTAATAGTTTTCCTATAGTTCAAACTCAAAAGATCAGCATCGCGTACTCTCTCACCAGTAAAGCAACAACATACCTGAAGCTGTGTAGCGAACCTGCCGAACTGCTGTATTCAATTTAATATCTAGGCCTTCTGCTAACGCCACAGGCACACATGAGTAGCCATTCCTCACTGTGAGGTGGCTGCCAGTAAACTCAAAGTCATCATCCTAAAGAGGAGAGAAAAGGACATATTTTCACACTTTTAAAATCTAATTTATGCTATTTATACTGAGTTCTGTAAAATAAGGCTAAAAACACCAACTTGTGGAAACTGTCAATATAACACAGAAATTAAAAACAATCACTCCAGCCCAGCCAGTGTGGCTTAATGGTTGAATGTTGACCCATGAACCAGGAAGTCATGGCTCGATTCCCGGTCAGGGCATGTACTGCCCAGGTTGCGGGCTCAGTCCCTAGTGAGACGGCTTGCAGGGGGTGACCAATTGATGGTTCTCTCTCATCACTGATGTTTCTTTCTCTCCCTCTCCCTTCGTCTCTGAAATCGATAAAAATCTGTTTCTTTGTTTTTAAAAAACCAATTACTCCATATTCAACTACAGCTGCCCCAGAAAACTGAAGGGAAAAGAAAAAAATGCCCAAATGTCCATCATGGCTACCTTTGGGCAGTGAAAGTAGGGCAGTTTCTTTTTCCCTGGATAGAGGTGTTTTGTTTGTTTGTTTTTAATGTTTTTATTGATTTGAGAGAGAGGAAGAGAGAGAGAGATAGAAACGTCAATGAGAGAGAACCACTGATTGGCTGCCTCTTGCACACCCCCTACTAGGGGTCAACCCCCTAATCCAGGCACGTGCCCTGACTGGGATTTGAACCATTGGTGCATGGGTCTATACCAGCCGTGGGCAAACTACGGCCCGCGGGCCGCATCCGGCCCGTTTGAAATGAATAAAACTAAAAAAAAAAAAAAAGACCGTACCCTTTTATGTAATGATGTTTACTTTGAATTTATATTAGTTCACACAAACCTCCATCCATGCTTTTGTTCCGGCCCTCCGGTCCAGTTTAAGAACCCATTGTGGCCCTGGAGTCAAAAAGTTTGCCCACAACACTGAGCCACAACGGCTGGGCTAGATAGAGGTTTTATCATCAAGTCTAGACTATTCATGGGGGTGGGAGAGGGAAGAAAGCTGATTCAGTAAATTCAGACAATTAGGTATCTTTTTTGTTTGGTTTTTTAATGTATTACAGACTTGGCAGGATATCAGATTTCACCATCCTAATTACGTTTTCTTTTACCCAAGAGCAAAATCCATTTTTATTCCTTAAACTTACATGTTTTAAAGTTAAGGAAGAGTTCCTAAACTAAAGTCAGATGAAGGCAATCTAGGATTGTAAAGATTGGCCCAAGATAATTTATATAGTAAAGAAGTCAAGATTTGGCCTGGAAGAATTACCCAAATTATGTCATTTCTCTGAATTTACTAAAAATTTTTCTATGTAGAGAAACTTTCGAAGGCTAGTCAGTATTTCTGATTTCATGAGATTCCTGGGGAAAACATACCACAATTCTTAGGAATTAGATAAAAATACTGGGTTGGCAGCAAAACTACTAAATGACGGACTCATCTCTGTGGATCAGTTCAAATCACCCACATTTAAAAACTTAATACAATTACAAATAGATACATACTGAAACTCCAAATGATAAATGAGTTATTAGGAAGGTCTAATTTAGTCTTTACATGAAAAACCACAAAGAAACTGGGAATTTTGCAAGATTTTTACCATTAGCAAGTTCAATCCTCACTGTAATTCAAGTACTAAAGAATACCAAGATATAATCTAAAGATTAAGAAGTCAAAATAATCTTACTAGGAAAATGTATAATGAAAATATGTAATAAAAGTGTAATATTTACTTCTACACAGTCTTAAGTCGGGCCAAAGTCTCAGAGATTGGTCCATTCAGCATCTAAGAAGCCCTGTGACTTCTCACCAATTCAAGAGTAAATCACCATTATAATACTTAAGAATAACGTGACAAAATGTTATTATCATGCTCAAGGATTAGAAGTCAATAGGAAGATGATGATCACTCTAAATTAGATCTATAGATTCAATGCAATCCCAAACTCCCAGAATTTTTTAATAGAAATTGATAAACTGATTCTAAAATGTTTATGGAAATACAGACCCAAAATAGCCAAAAACAATTTTAAAAAAGAACAAAGCTGGAGAACTTACATTACCTGATTTCAAGACATAGAGCAACCATACTCAAGACGGTGTGATAGTGGGATATGGAAAGACAGATAAATGAACAGACTCACACATGGTCAACTGATTTCAACAAAGGTGCCAAGACAAATGAAGAAAAAGGACAGTGCTAGAATAATTAATTAGATAACCATATGGAAAAATATGAGCTGTAACCTCACCTCTCATTATGCACAAAAATGAACTCAAAATGGATCATAGACCTAACATAAAACTTTATGGAGAAAATTTTTGCGATCTTCGTTTAGACAAAAAATGTTCGGGATTTTACAAAACACACAAAGCCTGAAAGTTAATAAAATAGGACACTCATAAAATTTAAAACTTTTGCTCTTCTAAAGATACCATTTATAAAATAAGAAGGCAAGCCTGCTGCAGATTTGTAGAAAATACTTCCAAAACATAAATCTGACAAATTGTATCCAGAATTTAAAGAACATGATGAACTCTCACAATTTAACAAGAAGACAATCAGATTTTTTAAATGAAAAGAAGATCTGAATAAACTTTTCATAAAAGAATTGACATACGAATGGCCAATAAGTACATGAAAAGATGCTTCAGATCACCAATCATCAGGGAAATAAAAATTAAAACAACAAACATTAGAATGGCTAAAATTTTTTAACCAGCAAGACCAAGTGTTGGGGATGATATGGAGCAACTGGAACTTTCATACATTGCTGGTGTGAATGCAATTTGGAAAACAGTTTAGAAGTTTCTTATAAAGCTTTAAAAACCTACTTTCCATTAAGATTCAGCAATTTCACTCTTATTAATCCAGGAGAAACACATGAATGTTCCTACTAGCTTCAATCATTTATAGCCAACATGGGAAACCACCCACATGTCCATCAATGTACCAATGAAAGGACAATCTGTGGTATATCCACAATGGAATACCACCAAACAATAACAAGGAACAAACCACTGATATACACAAAAACTTAGCTAAGTAAAAGAATTCACCCACAAAAGGCTATATGGTGCATGATATTATACTGTAGAGTTCAATTTACAGGTAATTATAGTGACTAAGCAAATAGATGGTTGCATAGGGCCAAGAGCAGGAGGGCTGGGGAGTAACTGCAAAGGGGCAAGAGAGAACTTTTAAGGATGGTAAAATGTTCTATTCTTGACTATGTATGTTTGGCAAAACCAAACTGCTCACTTAAAATAGTGAGTTTTGTATGTAAATTATCTTTCTTAATAAAGCTGTATAAAAACAAACAAATAAAAAGTTTCTTTTAAGAACCCTCTGCAAGACATGTGCAAAAAATAAACGATAAAGGAATTTTACCTGATCCCAATGTTTAAGGGAGAGTGTAGAAAGAGGTGTGGCATTAGCAAATTCAAGATTTGCAAAATGCCAATCAAGTATCTGTCTGTCTCTTGACGAGAGGTATACATCACTGCAAAATGAGAACAAAGGAGTACAAGGTTATTAAAGGACTTTACTATTATGCTCAGTAGGTGGATGGGGATGATCTCAGTAACTGTGTGACAATCTAAACCTGGGACTGTACGTTATGTGAAAAAATTCTAAGTCAAAAAGTAGGACCTGAGCTGTCTTATTAACCCCTTTATTCCTGGTACCTGGTACCAACCTCACTACATAAAGCAAATTACAATTAGGCCTCATTTGCCTGAAAAAAAAAAAGAAAAGAAAAAGTCTTCTTTATATGGTTGCATTATAAAAGCATATTCGTTGTAAGAATTTGTTTTCTATTTTAAAGCATGGACTTTTTGTAAGAATGGGTAGCACCCCTGACTGCAGAACAGAACAGATTCATGTGGAGACCAGGTGCAATATGGAGCACAGTATCAGCATGCAAGTATTCACTGTCAAAAGCCAATGGAAATAAAGTGTAATACTTTCCTACTCCCCAGAATTATGGGAATTTGAAGCAACACCACCTTCTATGCCACTCCAGGAAGACAATTTTCATTTACTACACTTTCATTCAAATACATATATCAGATTTTATGAAGGCTATCTTCAAAAACAATATATTTAAGTATCTAGGTCATTCTTACACATTAAAACATAAGACTAGGGGCCGTGGCCGGTGTGGCTCAGTGGATAGAGTATCCGCCTGTGAACTGAAGGGTCCCAGGTTCGATTCCAATCAAGGGCATGATTGGAATCGTGGGCTTGTGGGCTTGATCCCTGGTGCAGGGCTTGCAGGAGGCAGTCGATCAATCATTCTCTCTCATCATTGATGTTTCTCTCTCTCTCTCTCTCCCCCTCTTCCTTCCTCTCTGAAATCAATAAAGATATATTTAAAACACACACACACACAAAAAAAACAAAAACCGTAAGACTACGGGATTTAGGAACTAGAGAAGCATAGGTGACCATTGAACAACTCTGGGTTAAGGGCACTGATCCCCACCCCCAAGTATCTGGGAATAGCTTCTGATTTTCTCAAAACTTAACTACCAATAGCCTACTGTTGACAGGAAGCTTCACTGATAAGATAATCAATTAACACATATTTGTATGTTATATGTATTATATGCTGTGTCCTTATAATTAAGTAAGCCAGAGAAAGGAAAATACATGCATAAATTTTATGCAATCATGACATATCTAACTTTTTCTAGATTTCTAGGCTATGCAGTTGTCTGCACGTTTTTTCCAAATTGTTGTAAATCTCCAAAAAAATTTTCCAATGAATTATATACTGAAAAATGTCCACATATAAGTGGACCCGAGCAGTTCAAACCTGTGTTTAAGGGTAAACTATAGTCCACATGCACAGATAGCTTACATTTATTAAACAATTTACAATCCATTCACTTAACATAAATAAAACCATGGTGCTCTAAATCTAACAGAAAGAACAGTAAACCCTAGCCTTCTGAACGTCAGTGTTTTTTCCGTACCTTGGGGGATTGGCTTCCAATTCTTGAAGTTTTTCTTCTAGTTTTCCTTGTGTTTCAGCTAACTCATCATATTCCTGATAGAAGAGAACCAGTTGATCTAAATGTGTCAGAGACCAACCTAGTTATTTATACCACAAAATGTAAGGCCTGAACCACATCCCTGGTCCAGGTCATATCCACAAGTGTCTCAGCTTAAGGCTGGGTCAGGGCTCATTATTCTTGGAGACAAATTATAATGTGAGCCTGAAATTAAGATTGGAGATGGGAAGGTTCAGCAACCACCACTTCCTGTGCACTTACCACATCCCCTAATAAGCGAGTTAGTATTAATACCATGTAACAGATGAGGGGATTAAGAAGCCCAAGGTCTCCTGGCTAGAAGATACTAAGTTATGGATTTCAACCAGATAATGTGACTCCAAATGACTCTGGAGTCCATGTTCATTATCATTATTCTAAACCGTCAGGGATAAACTATACCAAAGGGCCAAAATGAGATGTAAGTAAACTAAAGGATGAGACTGTGAAAACAAAGTAGGAATTCTACAGAAAAAGTAGATCTTAAACCAAACTAACCCATTAAGTCCCCAATGCTCCTGCGTACCAAATCCTCTCTGCACTACAGGTACCTGTGATTGGCTAGTGGATCTTTCCCAAGTTCCTCAGATCTACACTATTCTTAAGGATTCCAAATAAAACCAACTGGGCATGAATGTCCGTATACCACACCTTGCACAGGGCAGTCAGATCCCTGTGTTTGCTCTTCACCAAGAACTCAGCCGTGATATCTCTGGGTGGCTTGACTTCAGATGCTTCTTTGTATTGCTGATGGAGCTCTTTAATTTTCTCTTTCAAATTTACCATCTAAGAGGGAAAAATAAAAATTTACCATTCCAGATAGTGATGTCATTCATCTCCAAATCACATGCGTTGGTTCCTCCCCCTAAACTGCTATTATACCAAAACAGGTCCTTGGAATTCTTAAATGCCTCTTCTATATCATGATATTTTATTAGAACAGGAAAAAACCCCTATAGGGCTCAACACAGAGATATCACCTCACTGTAAGGTGAGACTGCTTCTGTCTTCCAGAACACATGGCAGAACTAGGAGTGTCCCATTAATTTAAAAAAATACTATATACACACACATGTGCAAATTAATTTAATTTCCAGGAAAAGCAAAGGACTATAATGTAACTTAAACTTGTTGTTTTTGGAAACCAATGGCCATGATTTGTTTTTTAAATATATAAAAGGTCAAGTTATCACGCAAAGCAACTGCTGGAACTATTCCCAGGACTGGTCTGGTCCGGTTTCTGAGGGCACCTCAGAGGCCTCGGGGGATGGTTAAAGCTCGAGATGAGGAACCCCACAGCTGGCTGTTCTCTGGCCACTCATCTCACTCCATCGTACCACAGTCCTGAATAAGGAGTGCCAGAGACCTCTTCACTTGACAGGATGAAGAAGTGAGGCACCGTGAGAGTGAGGCAAGAGTCTAGTCACAAGATGCTCCCCGGTTTTGCATGACAACTCCCACAGGAGCTGTCCCACTTCACGTTTTCTCCCTAAGCCGGTATTATGTTTGCAGCTAGCAGGATGAGGAGAAACAAAGAGTTTCCTAGTCTGGAGGGTGGTGGCAAAGAGCCCTCAATAGATCTACTATTTGGCACAAGTGAAATAATTATGGCAAAGAATATGGTTGTCAACAGTGGGAATCTGACCTCGGGACAGCTGATTTCCCTCCCATCCTAGAATTCAGCAGGGGGCACTGGGTCAGCTTTACAACAGCCAAAGGGACCTGACAGCAATTTACCAGTAGAGCTGCACTTTAGAGTGACAGATAAAACAGTGCCTTTTGCTAGTCATTTTTTCTTAAGAGTAATCAGTGAGTCCCAGTGCTTTTAAAATTTCTAGAAGGCCTTTTCTTTCCTACTAATGCACCTTCAGCTATGAAAAAACACACACAAACAAACAGAATTTCACCTTATTAAGAAGCTCTTTCAATTCCTCCTGAGTTTTCACTATCTTCTTCCAATGTTCAATCTGCTCATCTTTAACATGCTTTTCTTGTAACCTAGGAGAGACAATTCGTATGCTCTGGTCACACAGCTTTGCAACATAAGACTGGTATCCATCAAAAACATTTAAGAGCATCAAGGCCCACTGATATTTCTAATACTCTGAAACAAGAAAGTTGGCTGGGGACAAGTTATTTTCTAGGCTATGTTAAATACAGTTTAGTGCCATAAAAGTGAATTTTAGAATTTAGAAGGGTTTTACGTATCATGTAATTATTGGTTTTACTTTTAGAGTTAACTATCTGACATGAAAATAAGCAACAATTAGCTCAAATAAGACTTGATGGAAAACTTAAAACAAAAATAGCAAATCTCTAAATGGAAATCACTAGACAATAGCAGTATTGAAGTACTTACTGAATAACAACTTCCAATGCCTGGCCAAGGGACACGGGCTTATTATTGAGGACATTGAAGTCTAGCTGATGACTAAGGTAAGATGTAGCTTCTAGCAACCGGTTAAACTCTTGTTCTACCATTTCATCTTTCTCTTTAGGAACCTGAAAATCCGAAGTATAGCAGAGTTGGTCCTTATAATACTAAACATAACCACCCATGAAAACACAAATGCTGTACAAATTAAAAGGTTTCTCTTTCTTTTCTATGAAGTGGTCAATTCTATTAAATGAGATATGAGATGTTTTTGGCACTGAGACTCTCCTATTCTCCCAATTTTGCCCCCAGAGCTGGGACTCTATCTCTATTAACAGCCCCAGGATTCACGCTGATGCGAACTGAAGTATGTGGAGCTAACATGCACTGAGATAAGCTGGGCTGACATGCAAACAATAGCTAGAAAAGTCCCAGAGAACAAAAACTGTGTCAACACACCTGAGGACCTTCCAGCAAAAGGGCAAGATGGACAAATAAGAAGCCCGAGGTACCTGCTTCCCCTCAAAGAAGAATTTAAGGTGGGAGTAGGAAAGAGAGAAGTGAAGTTCATTGCAATTAATAAGCTATTAATTTGCAGAGTGATAGTGTTTTAAGGCACCAATTAAGTTCCGAGCTGAATGTCCAAAGCTCAGATTATGAGTGACCAAGGTACCAGGTCTGGCTCGCTGTGGTGGAGGAAGGGAACAGACTGCAGAGCAGATCATCAAGCTGCAAGACCATGCTCCCAGGCCCTGCCAGCAGTCAGTGGAGACACATACCTCTGTGACTACTACTTAATTCAGCCCCAAAGTAGACTATCTGCAATTCTATTGCTGATTTCATGACAGCAGCGAGAGAAAAGGCACATCTAATGCAAGCATCTCTTGCCATAATAAGCGGGGCATCAACTGGGAAGTGGGATTTAAAATATGAATTTCACTTTACAGCCAACCTGAAACTGGTAACAAGAAAACAAATATTAAAGGTCTAAGGAACACGAAGGCAGAGGAGAAGTGATCTTTTACAACCAGAGATAACTGATTGTGGACAAGATCATCACAGTAAGACTCTACCTCTTGTTTGAAACTCCTTAGTTTTTGCCCTTCCCAATTAAACAGATGATTTTGACGTACAGGCCTCTGCCCCTTCACTGATAAGTCACCCAAATAACTCCCTATGAGCCAGGGGGTGGCAAAAAGAATGTGGCAAGAAATACAATCTGCACCAAAAAAAGAAAAAAGGGAAAAGGACTGCAACTGTCCTTGGAAACTGTAACTATGACAGACACCGTAAGTGATTCAATCAAAAGCATGTTTTAAGCATCAAGTTCCAAAAGACCGCACTGAAGAGATCAAGAAATCTCTATGAATTTGAGAGTCCTCATTAGCGCAAGAAATGTCAACCCCGAGAATCTTCTGGTTTATACTGAGAAATAAGGGGGAGAATCGGGCTTTGGATACTTGGTGCCATTATATAGCAGGGTGGTACCTAGGATTCAGACACATCTGACCTGCTATTCAACTCCAGGCCCAAAGAAAGGAGCTCTTGGTGACAGCCCTACTTGTTCTGATTACATGGTTATCAGAGCTAATGGAGGAGACCATTTTGTCAGGAATTTCATTTACTTTCTCATTAGTTACTTTTCCTCACTAATGTGATGGTCATACTAGTATACAGAGCAGCTCAAAGCAATGCTGAAATTTTGCTCAGTGTAATTCATGCAATGATGCTACAAAATATGGTTCTAGAAACTCTAAATTTGGTGCACCTTTAAAAAAGAAAACAATTACATTTTCAACTGATATCTACAGCTATGAAATCTTAGCAGATTATAGATGCAATGTGTAAGGCTGTTTTTCCCGGAGTAGAAAAGGGTGATATTTCTGTGTGGCTTCTATATTGTCTAGTAAGGGGATGCTGTAGCAGCAAGAGGGATCAGATCACATACGCCTCTGCAACAGGGCAGAATGTGCCGATACACAAGTGTGCAAATGGTGCAGATTAAAGCTCTTCCAGTGTCGACTGGATGGCTTGCTTCAGACAAGCTTTAATCTTTGCAGCGAGGCTGACAGTCACACAGGGAAGTTCATACTGAAAAATGCGCAGCACTCAGGCTCAGTAATTGGGGTCCAGGGTGTGTGGCAGAGAAATACTTAAAGGGACACTGTCAAGGTTAAAGGGACCAAATTTGACCTTTTGTTTCTTCCCTCTTTGCTAAGCAGCCCTCTTGATTCATTACACTTTCCCCTTTAGTCCACCCACACCCCCCACAAAAAAACCTGACTTTTTACATGCGCTTTCAATGACAAAAACTCAAATGGCACCAGCCCGACACACAGGCGCAAATCTACAACAACAAACCAGTGTGAATGTGTGATGGAGAGGACCTTTGGAAGGGAAAGATTTAAGTTTCAAGCTTTTAATGGGTTATTGTAAACAGTGAGGAAAATGATTTGAAAAATTATGAAAAAAAAATACCTTGACAGTGTCCTTTTAACCAGTGCAGCAGAGAGAGAAATAAACTGTAAATAACAGCCCAATAGCCACGTCAAGTTTCATCTTTACGACAGCAGTAAAATCAAGGCTTTAAACACACAGCATGACAAAAGCATTCTGTTAGCTCAGAAGCTGCAACCACCAGAGAAATAAGGGACAGACTGTACAGAGACCAAAATGGGAAAGTCAAGGCATTGAGATGGACAAAAGAAAGCCAGTGTGGAGAGGACGGTGGTGGTAAAGGGAGATGGCATCAGAAAGCAGTGAGGAATGAAGCAAATGTAATAAAAGAGAAAAAGAAACACAGAACAGTAACAAGAACAACAGACAAACAAAAACCAAACCAAAGGTCACGGCCACGTGTGACTGACGTCGGGACGACATGTCTGATCTCCGGTACACCGTCTGCCTCGAGGCTCCACTGAGGAGACTCCAAGGAACAGCCAGCAGTCAGGCCCCAGCCCGTTTCTGCCTGAACAGTTATGGGAGTGTTGCCAGTGAGACCAGGGATAGCTTTGAAACTGGAATGTTTTTCCATTAACTTTAAAATTCCACTTTGAAATTAAAGGAATATTTGAAAAATAGTAAATAAAATACTTGTCCATTAATCAATACTGACTGGGTGAAAATCAAAAAGTGTTGTTGATATATTTAAATTTTGAATCTATTTCTAAAATTAAGCTAGTTTAGATATGCACTACTTGACATAGCCAGACAATGAAAAGAACTTTTGCAAATGATGACCTTTAAGCACCCCCTAAATACCTGTTCCCCTTGATGAGAATTGTTGGACTATCTTAGTTTCACAAATTATTGTGGAGCACAAAATGCAATAATTTTGGTTTTACCTGACCATTCTATTCTAGGTTCTTAAATTGCACCTTGAGAAAGAACTCAGCAAATGATTGCAAAGAGTTAGGCTCTGTGTTAGTCAGCGGCTGGATTTCTATGTTACAACACAGCAAGAACATGTTAACCAAACTAAGAAGCAAGCAGTTTTTTCTGAAAGAACCTTTGATATAGTTTTCTAGTAAAGAATTAAACAAAAAAGATATCATTTGAAACAGATTTTGATAGGACTTGTCAAAGCCATTTATTTCCCTATGAAAAGCTCCAGATAAACAGTTTCTTCAAGACTAGGAACATTGGGTCAGTCTCATTGCTCTAAATAAGTACAATTCTGATTGTTTTGGTCCTGCAGATTATATGGAACATTCCTGAATATGGCCGAGGGAGGGACAGCCTATGCATCTAGCCCATGCAGAATAAATTTAGGGACAGCCAAGCAACTTTCTGGACAATGTCCCTGATCCTGCAAGAAGTTATCTCAAAAAAAGGACACTCTCCTTAGTTCAACCTCTGGTTGCATTCTACCATCACAAACTCTTCAGGTCTATAAAAACATGATCTCATTCCAGTCTGCAGAAGTTCTGAAGCAGCAGAGCAGATTGCATTGACTGCAGCTTGGTTCTGGGTACAGGAAGTTCTGAGATTTAGCCAGAGAAATCCTTAAAAAGAGTAACATATTGAAAAAAGTTGTAATGGCCAAATCTGGCCAACAGAGGCCATAGTCAATCTCCACCTCCATGCACTTCTAGAATTATAATAAGACAAAGATTTAGATTGGTTCTTTTGGTAAAACCTAGAAGAAGAAATTTACATCTGAACAGACTCTAATTCAGGTTCCCCAATAGCTAAGGAAAACAAGATATAGCTATTATTCTTAAAGGGAGAATAAGGACAAGTATTTCCTTAATCCAAAAGTTTAATGTAATTCTATAAATGAAGGCTGTTATCTTTAAACTCACAGGGATTTTTTTTAGATTGTGCAAATATTGGACTTCCCTAAAGCAGTGACTACTAGGCCATGTGGAGAAGGTACCCACAACGTGTCTAAGGGCTACCCTAGCAATTACAGCATGCAGTAGAGGCGCTCAGGAAAGTCCTATTCAATGAATAAATTAACATAGTTTGGAAAAGCAAAGTCAGTATTATAACTATATTTTAGGGGAAAATACCTATTTTGCAACTTCAGGAACATTAAAGGAAGGCAGGAGATTTTTACATTTATAAAAAGCAGGGATTGGCAGTCATGATTTTAAAGGATAGAAAAAGAATACCTTAAAGACACCAAAAATGTTTCCACAAAGAAAGATGAAAACTGAAAAGGCCAACAGGCCTGTGTCAAAAGTATAATCATCTAAGCACCACTCTATATGAACACAAGTGAAAACTGGCTACCTTATGGTAGGTACTGACCAGTTAATGGTTTTTGTAAAAGACCGACACTTGTTATCTTTCTAGTATTCTCTTTCTTCTTCTAACAGTTGAGCCATTCAAGAAAACCAGTGCATCTGTTTTTCCAAGTAGTTTCTGAGTCTTTGGATCTCAACTTGGCAACAACTCTAACTCTGTTCCATTGTGATGCAGAATGTTACATCACTGCAGGAATTTAAGATACCTTTTCATTACTCAAAAGAAGCCAAAACAAAACTAGAATCTAAAGCCCCCGAGTTACCGACTGGTGTACAGGAGATGCAGAAAACATTCAGTCATTTCCCGTCTCCCCCAACAATCCATGTTTGTGTGGTGGTTGTTTTTTTGTTAATCCTCACCCGAGGATATTTTTCCCCATGGATTTTTAGAGAGAGTGAAAGGGAGGGAGAGAGAAACATCTATGTGAGAGAGACACATTGATTAGTTGTCTTCCATACACACCCCAACGAAGGCCGGGGATCAAACCTGCAACCCAGATATATGCCAGGAATCGAACCCGAGACCGTTTGGTGCGTTATCACACTGGCCAGGGCAACAATCATGTTTTGAGTCCCTTCACTGTGACTCTCCAAATGTTCCTGAATTATTACCCTATTTCCCAACCTTGTCCACATCCACTTAAAGCTGATTAAAGCATACTAGTATAGCAGTTCAGAGTATAATTCCATCATCAGTCGATCTGAGGGCAGCTGCTAAAAGACACTTCTATTTACAGGGATACAGTATTTTGTGTTAGAACCCCTGTCTAGTACCCAGACTTAGGTAATGACCTCAGGCAAACACATTTTGAGCTTTAGATTCTTCCCCTGAAAAATGGGAGAACGAAGCAACTCACCTACTGACTCCTTAGATTTCTAAAGCCATGAAGCATAACTGTAATTATCAGCATAATTTAATGGAGCTATAAGCTCTTAGCACTTGTCCTATAAACTAAAAATCAGTCTTCTTGTCAACAGTTGTCCATTCACACTCAGAGCTAGACTACTGGGAACAGTAAGATACAGAAACATTAACATCCCTTCTTAGGTTTACCTAACTACCTTAAGGCTAAGTGGAACTCAACGTTGCAACTAACTTTTCCCCAAATTTGAGAATGCTTAATCAATCCCCCTTACTACTTGGCTACTGCACCAAACAAATATACCAACTTAGAAAAATCCTATAAAGATCAGAGTTGAATGACAACTATAAATTTCACTTGAAAAAATAGCATGCTGAAAACCACATACCTGCTTAACAGCTGTATACTACAGTGCTACTCAAAGGGCTGATCCTGGTGAGCCTACAACCCAGATATGTGACCTGGACCAGCCATCGAACCTGAGACCCTTTGGTGTGTGATCACGCCGGCCAGGGCAACAATCGTTTTGAGTCCCCTCACTAGGAGTTTATGCCAGAACCTAAATTAACACATTGCTTCCTTCAATGAGAAAGTCTTGCTACCAAAAAAAAGTCATCATCTGAACTAACAGCGTGGTTAATAATGTCGTTTATTTATATTCTGGAGTCAGCTATTTACCTCAACCCATAGTAGTAACCAACAGTTCGTTCATGGATGGGCAGCTGGTTATAGGCCACACTTGAGAGATACACTATTTAGAAAAAAATTTTTAAGATACATTAAAGCTCATATAATTCTCTGGATATCTCTACCAAAATAAAACTTTCCTTTTACTATTACACTACATGAAGCTAAGTGCTCTACATTCAGGAAAATCTAAGGAAAAAGGCAGTCTCAATAATCAGTGAGCATCTCTGGTTTTGATCCCATTACTTCTTGAGGCCTAATGTAATCCACTTTAGAGGCCTTGCTTCCTCAATTCAATTCTCTAAACCACTGCTTGTCTACCCAAAACACTGCTCTGTTCATGTTACTTCCCCTACTCTAAACCTTATGAAGTCCCAACCAACAAATCAGCCTAGTAAGCCACAGCCTCCCCCATAAACGTTGGCTTTACATAACATCAGTCCCTCACCAGCATAATCCTATTGTCTTTCAGAGACTTCTCTTAGACAAATTTAGTTCTGCCTTCAATGCCTTTCCCTCCACAACCATGTTAAAGTCCTAAGCCACCTTTACAAATGCTCTCCTTCCCTCTAATCTCTCCCCGCCCTTGCCCCTCCCACCTCAACAGACTCTCTCCTTGGCTCTTCAGTAGCAACTTATTCTTCTACCTAACTCTTGGCAAATCTGCCTGTTTTTCGTGTTATTGGAATGGGCATGAGTAATATGATTAAGGGGGGAAATCACTTTGATTTTAATGACAGCTATTACTGCCGATGCTCTCAAGTTCATATAAGACATCTGGAATCACTAGAAGTTAGGCCCCTTGAAGGCAAAGAAAACATCTTCAGTGCTTAAGACAGGGCCTAGATTTTGGCAAATGTTCAATAAATACTTGACTAACTGTGATATGCTTACTCCAGACAAAAGAGGGGGCTGGACAGATAAAACAAGATTGGAGTGGAAAAATAGAAGTCCGTTATCGCACTCTTTCTACTTCTGTATATGTTTGAAAATTTCCATAATAAAAAGTCGGGAAATAATTATTTGTGTTCAAGTCCCACTCCACTGTGGCATCTTACATAGCAGGGAATGTCTTATTCAACTCTATATCCCTTTATATATCTTTGCAGAATAGTAAAAGTTTATTAAATTGTTGCATTAACTTCTCCTTCATCCTTTTAATCTAATTCTATTTTGCTAATTCTGCCAGCATGGTGGAGATGGGAACTAAGGCATTTCCTGAAAGTCTGTCCTTCTCTGATATGAATGGCATAAAGCTTAAAGGTTTAGAGAAATGGCTTAGAATGTCCCATGGGATCTAAAGTTGGGATCTTACCACTTTTAATAACAAAAGCTAAACTGCTATATATATAGCAAAACTTCCCTTCCTCAGAATTGTAGACACCATTGCTCCTGATAGGGGAGCTGGTAAACTTCTGCTGAATATAAACTTTTGAATTTCACTCACTCCTAAAATTTAGGATTGACTTACATAGTCTAAGCCAAAATGTCAAACTCACGGCCACAACGAATATTTTTGCAGCCCAGCCAATATAACAGTATGTAAGAAACGTTATAATAAAAATTTCGTAACTTAATTTTTACAATATCCTGTTATACATAATTATTAATAATGAACTAGAACGTTCGCTAATGACTGATTACTATAATTGTGTTGCATTCATTTCCCTTATGTGCCTTTTGCGCAGGCGCACCATTTCTCTCCACTAATACTAGCAGCGAATATTTTAGCAACCGATAGCCACATCATTAATCTTGGACTGATTGGTTTGGTGTGCGCAACAGAAAATATTTCACTTTCGGAGAACAAGAAAAATAGGTTTATTTGTGTTATGCTTATTAATTTGTGCAGTTATTCAGTGTCTGGTAAGTTAATGTTCAAGAAAAAATATTAATTTTTATTAAAATGTTCTATTATTTTATGTTAATGATTACTCATTTATTTCAGCCCTTTGTATTCAGCATGTCTCTATCGAAATAAACCTACGTTTCTATGAAAATTGAAGCTTTTGTTTTTTGCGGCCCACATAAACTTAAACCTTGTTTAGCTTGCCCATGTTAGCCTTTGAGTTTAACATGCTTGGTCTAAGCCTATCATATAGTTGTTACTGTCACTCTCCCATACTGAACACCACTTCCATTCTACTGCCATACTAAGTATAGGAAGTTCCTATGCATCTGGGTCAACAATTACCTACATAAGCATTGGCTAAGTACCACAATTTGGCTATTAGCCTGTTAAAAACTTAAGTGTACAAACACAAAACTGAAGTCATAAAGAGCACATGGAGCTAAAGCAAATGATGGGATGCACAATACAAAGAAAGGAAGAATCAGGAGTCAATTACATAGGTCTCTTGGAGTAGGTGGCCACAACTAAATAAAAAGACTAACTAGCTAGCCTTCATTAAATGTCTAAAGATAAATGCTCAAACTGGCATATATAAATGCATATATGCAATAATAATCCCTTCCTAATAAAGCTTAGAATTAAGCAACAATCAGAAAACGTTATACAATTTCTGCCCTCAGTTGATATGTATATGTGTATATATTCACCCAGACATTATCCCTGAAAATGTTTTCAAGTGAGCCAAAGAAATTTTGAAAAGTTCTGTTTGTCTTCCACTTACAGCTTGTCCATTGGCTTCATAAAGTGGGCATTTTTGCTTGATCTTGGCCAGTTCCATATTTACTTGTTTGCTGACCACAGCCATGGGATTCCCTCCTAGGAAAAACTCAAATGATTAAATTCAACATACCTATGAAAAGAAAACAAAAACCTCAAAGCAAAAATATTTTTACTAAATTTAAAATACCTAAACTTGTGTATTTTATTTACATATATATATATCCACAAGTAAAACAAATGTGTAAGATAGCATAAAGAAGCAAGCAAAAAAATTACCTATAGTCCCAGTTAGTTAACACTAGAATCTTCTAGATTTTATGTGCATAAAATTAGACATACACACACAAAAGGATCATACATAACACATGTATTGTTTTGTTTTGTAATCTTTTTACAACTTAGCATATACTGTGGACATCCTTTCATGTTAATATGGAGTTACATAATTTTTAGTGGCTGTATAGTCCTCATGTGTAACAATTTCATCTTCTAATCTGAGGTTTCTAATGTTCTGCTGTGCCACATTAAAAATGCTCCAAACATAAGATAGTCCACTTGTTTATTGTCTGAGGATAATTTCCCAGAGCTGGATCTGCTAGGTCCAAATGTCTGTACAGTTTAAATTTTGCACACACTCATGTATTCTTTCAGGAAGCCTATGTGTCAGTTTACCTCTCACTAATACTAAGAATAGTATCCTAAAGTCAATATATTTTAAAATTGCATCTATAGCTTTAAAATATAAGCTTACCAGTAACCAACCTTATGGGCCTCAGAAGTGTATTATAGCACAAAACTACTTACCAAGCCCCGTTACTACCATGGCTCCAAGATCAGCTACATAGTTTCCTTTGCGAAATGTGGCAACTCGTCCACCTACACGATCCTGTTTTTCAGAAATTAAATGGCTAAAATCACCAATTCTATTTTAACCATAAGAACCAGGCCTGGTATGCCCCAGTCCTCTGTCTTCTTATAATTTAAAATGAAAGGTGTAGTTTAGAGTTTACATGGAATGCAATAAACAGTACAGTGGCACAAAAAGCAAATGGAGTTTAAATGGGAGAGGTAGGTAACGAATGACATACAGAAAGGTATGGAATTACGATGTGAAATAGGAAAAACAATTTGGTAGTCAGAAGACATATTTAGTCATAGGTACTGCTGTCTCTCTATCCAGCTGTCTCTAATACCACTAATGAATAGGCTAAGCAAGGGTCACACGCATAGAAAATATGTATTAAGAAATTCCAACTAAACACCATCTTTCTACCACTGATTTCCTACTATTGCCCTCCAGTGCCCAAAGTCAGCTTTGAATGATGTGATAGATGATTTCTTTGATAAATGGTTCTCCAGAACAGGTCCATGCCCGGGTAGTGTCTAATGAGCGTGAACTATTAACAATACCTCTCATTCCTAAATAGGCACAGGCTTATCTCTGCTGACTAGGGCCTTTCAAGTATGGGACAACCTTACTGAGCTGCAGGGATATTTCAATTATGGATAAATACAGACATGCAAACTCCAAGCAAACAAGCAAACAAAACAAAAACCTATAAACTGGATTAAAACTCCACTTGGGTAGGAATCATAATGATTCTATCATTCCTTACTGTATTTTTAGTGCACAGGACACTATTCTTAGTTAATGAATAAAATATTTTTAGTAAGACTATATCAGAAATTATTTACTTTTGATTTCCCCATATTTGAAAAGACTATTTTTTAAAAATTATCAATTTAGCCCAGCCCAGTGTGGCTCAGTGGTTGAGCGTCAACCCATGAACCAGGTCACTGTTTGATTCCCGATCAGGGCACATGGCCAGGTTGCAGGCTCCATCCCCAGAAGAGGGTGTGCAGGAGGCAGCCAATCAATTCTCTCTCATCATTGATGTTTCTCTCTCTCTCTCTCCCTCTCTCTTCCTTTCTCTGAAATAAAAACATATTTTAAAAAATAAGTAAATAAATTAGCAATTTATAAATTGCAATTTGGACTGTATTACAGATTTTATAAAATTTTAGGTTGTTTAGGTTACCCTGAGAAGTGTTTATTTATTTATTTTTAATTAATTTATTTTAAATTAATTTTAGAGAAAGGAAGGGAGAGGGAGAAAGAGAGAAACATCGATTGGCTGCCTCCCACACTTGCCCTGAGAGGGGATCAAACCTGCAACACAGGTATGTGCCCTAAAGGAGAATGGAAACCCAGAACCTGTTGGTGTACAGGACAATGCTCCAACCAAGACCCACGGGGCCAGGATGAGCAGTATTTTTTAAATAGTGGGAGTCCAGGAAAGCCTTGAAGCCACTGGAAGATAATTAAACCTCAAAACTTAATAATGAAGATAATTTAAATAGTAGTGTTCTAACATGACATCCTTTTTTCCACTCTGTGCCATCATCCCTTTCCTCCTTTACTAGTAGTTTCCCTCTCCCTCTAGGGCTAATGAGAAGGGAACCAGTAGCTTGGCTTCAGTAGGCCCTAAAAGATGGTTGCTACCTGAGAACCAATTCCTTTTCCTTGACTACCCAACAAGAATACAGTTCACTGTGTTCCACTACTAAGAACACTGCCTCCTGCAAAGGATACGTCCGTGAAGCCCCATGACCTGCAAATATCCATCAAAAGGATATGCAGACCATTTACACACTCTAAATCCTCACTAAGCTTTTCAAAGCTTTACTGTCAAAGTGCTTCCATATAAATAACACTATCCAAGATACTTTTAAGAGCGTTAATACAAATCAATTTGGTTTAGTTCAAGTTATGATTTCTTATTTTGCAACAGATAACTTCCTTTAGGTCAGGCTTCTAAACCCCAAATAAAATTCTTACCCTAGCTTCCAGAAGTGTGACATCCATTCCAAAACTTTGTAATTGACGAGCTGCTGCCAAGCCTGAGACTCCAGAGCCTATAATAATTACCTTTCCTGTCTTTTTAGCTAAAAGCAAAAAATGAACAAAAATTAGAATATTTTGTTGTAGGTTTGTAATTACGGTATTTTATCATGAAAACTTCTTTAACATGTCATAATGTCTTATCAAGTAAACAATTCAGCTATTTTCAAAATATAGAAAGTATCTATATATATAAAAGGCTAAGTGACCGTCTGTATGTTAGTCATATGACGTGTACTGGCAATTTAAAAATAAACGTTGACTTGCGCATGCACGATACATACACCAGTAATGCTCTCGCTGGCGCCAATCTAGACAGAGTAGGAATATTCCTACTTGAACCCGTTTTCGGACATGGTCAGTTATATGTTGCTTTCTCTCAAGTTCGAAGAGTTTTTACTCTTAATGTGGGATATATTAGATTAAGTTTATCAATTTATCAGTCATTGTTTTTATATCATGTTTTTGTTGTTTTTTATGTGTTTTTATGTCTTTGTTGTTATATCATGTTATTATTTATCAATTTATATATTATTTTCATATACATTTTACTAATTTTCTTTCATCTCTGACACTTCTATTATAGAGAAAGGGTGAATAGCATTATTAAAATATTTCTTCTAATTAATTTCCTTTCAATGTGTATGAATCTGTGCACCGGGCCACTAGTCTGAATATAAATTAGCAAATATATAGAACTCATAAACTTTAATTCAATGTTGAAAATTTATAAGTGAAATCCTTTATGTTGGGATTTACTTTCTCATTTTTTCAGCTATGTGTTTCAGTATGTGTGACCCGTGTTAATTTACTGTAAATAACCTGCTTCATTACCTCACAATTACACTATGACAATTTGATCAGCCACCCTCTTTATCCTTAAAGCTATTTTCTTTAAGCTTGACTTCTACAGTCTTCAGTATCCCTTTTGGAAGAATGATTAAAGCATCAAAAATAAATGTATTTTTAAAACAACTAATTATTTAATTAACTAATTCTCAAAATATCCCTATCTCCTGGATCTCTGGCAGATATTATCTGGAGACCGTGAAAGGGGTAAATAGTATGTAAAAAGAAGAAATGCAAACTTCAGCAGTATAAAAAACTAGTCAATGAGAGAAAACCTCCAACCTCCTGTTTTCATAACTCACTTCTCTCATCTTTAATAAATTTTATATTTTAATTGATTCTTCTTAAATTGGAAGTTTAATACCTTTACTAATTACCTATCAAACCAGAAATTATAGAAAATGCATTTATGAGAAGATTTTAATTTTGACCTTTAAGATGAACTCTGGAATATTTTAACTCCAAATATAGACTTAGAAATCAAAAAATGCTAAAAGCCTCCTGGAAATAAAACCAAGTCCTAGAACAATAACAAAATCAGGAATGCAGTGGCCAGGTCCTTACTTGGGAGGGGCTTTATCCTCTTATAGATGCCGAAGTTGATAAGACCGTGACGCTCTAAATAGCTGTGAACTCGGTGGACAAGCACAGTATCACCTATAGAATAAATGAAGTCAAAAACATGTTTATATTTTTAGCAGTTTAAACAGGATACTTTTTAACTCTATTTCTCCATCATGAAAGCATTCTATACATCTTTTCCACAACCTTCAGGTCCTGTGACTCCTTTAGAAAAGTGATTCTTAGAACTAAGTTTATGAGGTAGTACAAAATGCGTAACACATAATTAGGAATTTTTAAGAACGAGATTCCATTACAATGAAATAAAAGTCAAAATAAACCCTCCTTAATGTAATATTATGCTCATTTACTTTGGCAAAAACTTTACAAGATTTTGTTAGTGCCAACTAGGAAATGAGAAAGCTAGATAGCCAGTCAACTGAACGCCAACAAAGTACTCCATGGAGTAAAGCTGGAACACAGGTCTAGGAAAATCATTAGCAATCTCTTAAACAAGCATACAAAACAGCTTTTCTACAAGGCTCATTTTTGCACAGTACAAGGTGAAATAAGATGAAAATACAAATTAAAAAGATTAAGGAGCCATGAGGTTCCTGGAAGGAAATGTCAATTTTCATAATCCAGTCCAAAACCAGTTCTACCGAACACATTACTTACTGTTGTAAGGTGCTTCTAATTGTTGTAGAGTAGCCTCAAAAGTCAGCTGAATCTTTGGATTATCCAACCACAACTGCAACTGTATTTAAATGATAGAAATTGTATTACACACAATTTGATGTATATCATATTTCCACTTTAAAATATTATTTTAACTTTAAGGCCCAAATACAGGCTTTCCTTTCACTGAAACAATGGGGGTTATATTCCTGACAAAGAAACTAATGAAACACAAAAACATGTCAAATGAGCAAATAATTGAAGAAGCTCAGAGATATTTAACCTCAAAAAGAAAAAAAATACCTAGTAACTTGCCAAGATCATACAGCTGGTAGGAAGCAACTAGGATTTAAACCTGGATTACATGACACCAGAGATATTGAGTAGGTACAACCAACAAAATGAAATGATCAATTAGATATACAGAGGTGGGAGAAAAGAGATGCCAAGGAAAACTCCTCCATTTGTGGCTTGTACAACTAAATGAGTCAGTATGCCATTCACTGAATAAGGATCACTGAAAGATGAGATAATGAGTTTAGTTTCAAGACAATCAAGAGTAGATATAAGACTAGTATCTCCATATATAGCTGGAGCTTATAGGAGAGATAAGATCTAGAGCAATTTGCATATGGGTGATAACTGAACCCAAAAGTGCAGAAGAGGGGTCCTGACAGGAGAGGACCTTAGGAGCCTTAAGGAACTCCAACCAGTTCACATAATGGCCTGTTGTTCAAGGATAAGCCTACAAAGCAGTCAGAGAAGACAGCAGCCAGGGAAACAGGAGAAAACCATCTATATCTATACTAATAAAAGAGAAACATGCAAATTTGTGTCACTCTGCTACACCCACCAGCCAATCGAAGCAACTATGCAAATTAACCCAACAAAGATGGCGGTTAATTTGCATACGCAGGCACAGAGGAGCAAAGACTGAAGGCTCCGGCTGGAGTGAAGAGTGAAGAGTGAAGAGTGAAGAGGCTTGGCTTCTCCGCTGCGGCCGGACCAAAGCCTGGGTCCCAGATGCCGGAGGAAAACCGGTGCCAGCAGCCAGGGGAAGGAAGGCCTATTGCGCAAATCTTCGTGCAACAGGCTTCTAGTCCTATATAATAAAAGGGTAATATGCAAATTGACCCTAACAGCAGAACCACTGTGAATGACTGGTCACTATGACACACACTGACCACCAGGGGGCAGACGCTCAATGCAGGAGCTGCCCTCTGGTGGTCAGTTGCTCCCACAGGGGGAGCTCTGCTCAGCCACAAGCCAGGCTTACGGCTGCTAGTACAGCGGTGGTGGTGGGAGCCTCTCCCGCCTCTTCAGCAGCGCTAAGGATGTCCAACTGCAGCTTGGGTCTGCTCCCCGCTGGCAAGTGGACATCCCCGGAGGGCTGCCAGAGGGATGTCTGACTGCCAGCTTAGGCCAGATCCCCCCAGGGAGCGGGTCTAAGCCAGCAGGTGGACATCCGCCGAGGGGGCCCAGACTGCGAGAGGGCACAGGCCGGGCTGAGGACCACCCCCCCCCCGGCCGAGTGCACAATTTTTTGTGCACCAGGCCTCTAGTATATACATAAAGAGGGAATATGCAAATTAGGCCAGGACACCTTAACGGGTCACGACCACAGGAAGAGGTTGTGCGCGCAGGTGAGGCCTGGAGCGGAGACGGAGACAGAGACAGGGGGCTGGCGAGCCACTGCGCCCTGGCTCAGGCTGGCCCCTGATAGCCAGAGTGGACAGGGACAGGGGGGCCAGCCCGCAGCCTCCACGGCCAAGCACAGACCCACCTCCCACGGAAGCGGCGTGGGTCCCTCCCGCCTCCCGTGTAAGCAGCTCGGCTCCCTCCCAGCTCCCGTGGGCGCCAGTGGCTCACTTCCGCCTCCCATGGAAGCCGCATGGCTCCTGTGAAGCAGCGTGGCTCCTGGCGGCACGCTGCGGTTCCTGCTGGCTCCCACAGAAGTGGCGGGTGGCCTATTGTGCGCGCTACCTCGCGATGGGCTACTAGTCTATGATAATACTAGTAAAAGCGTAATATGCTAATTAGACCAGACGTCCTTCTGGACAAAGCCAGGGCTGCCCGGGTCCCGGGTGCCTGTGGGCGGCCGGAGGGAAGCCTGGGTCCCGGGTGCCAGAGGGAAGCCAGTGCCAGCAGCCAGGGGAAGGCCTACTCTTGCACAAATTTCGTGCACTGGGCCTCTAGTAACACTATGTTAAGCTAAGGGAGTAACGTGTTTAAGAAAAAAAGAGTGGTCAGTTATTATTTCAAATGCTGCTGAAAAAGCAGTAAGATGAGAAATTAAAAATACTGTGGTACAATCAAAGGGCTGTACCATGAATTCTCTTCAAATTGAATATACATCTTCAAAATGTAAGACCAACTGCATACCACTATATTTAAGTCTTAGCTAAAACTTAATAAAGACTGCTCCAAAGACAAGTTTCAATGAACAAGAAGTTTGGTCATTTGTAAATAAATCCAATTAAGAAATATAACCAAAGTCATAGCATCTCCACTTTCCTCTGGCCTGTCAAGGGAAAATGGAATTCCTCAAGTACACTCTGGGCCCAAGCTCCTTGCCCCCCAAAATAAGCCTCTTCCTCCTTCAACCCTATAAAATAAAGCTTAGGTTGCCTAGCCAGTGTGGCTCAGTGGTTGAGTGTCGACCTATGAACCAGGAGGTCATGATTCAATTCCCCATCAGGGCACATGGCCAGGTTGCTCAATCCCCAGGGGTGTGTGTGCAGGAGGCAGCCCACTGATGATTCTCTCTCACCCTATATAATAAAGCCTAATATGCTAAGTGTCCGGTCGTCCGTTCAACCAATCAAAGCTTAATATGCTAATGATACACCAAGGCCGCTCAACCGCTTTCTGTGATGTGCACTGACCACCAGGGGGCAGACGCTCAGACCAGTAGGTTAGCTTGCTGCTGGGGTCCGGCTGATTGGGACTGAGCGAGACAGGCCGGACATGCCCTGGAGATCTCCCGTGGTCCCTCCCTGGCTGGCCAACCTCCCGCGTACCTCCCCAGCCCTGATCATGCACCAGTGGGGTCCCTCGGCCTGGCCTGCATCCTCTAGCAATCCGGGGCCCCTTGGGGGATGTCTGAGAGCTGGTTTCGGCCCGATCCCACAGGCCAGGCCGAGGGACCCCACTGGCGCACAAATTCGCACACCAGGCCTCTAGTCATTAATTCATTAATATTTCTATCTCTCTCTCCTTTCCTGTCTAAAATCAGTTTTGTTTTTTTTTAAAATCTATCTATCTATGTGTGTGTGTGTGTGTGTGTATACAAAGACAATTTTGTCTAAAAAGATCCATTTAGATCAAATGTTATGCTACACATAGACGTGGATTCAATTATAAGACAAATTAACCTCAGAAATACACATTAAAATTTTTCCACTCATTAATATATATATTTATTTCAAAGAGAAAGGGAAAGGGAGAGAGAGAGAGAGAGAGAGAGAGAGAGAGAGAGAGAGAGAGAGAGAAACATCAATGATCAGAGAGAATCATTGATTGGCTGCTTCCTGCACATAAGCCCCACATTGGGGATCGAGCCTGTGCCCTGTGAGCTCCTGGTTCATAGATAAATGCTCAACTACTGAGCCACGCTGGTGGGGCTCCACTCACATTTTTTTTTTTTAAATATATTTTATTGATTTTTTACAGAGAGGAAGGAGAGGGATAGAGAGTTAGAAACATCGATGAGAGAGAAACATCGATCAGCTGCCTCCTGCACGCCCCCCAGTGGGGATGTGCCTGCAACCAAGGTACATGCCCTTGACCGGAATCGAACCCGGGACCCCTGAGTCCGCAGGCCGACGCTCTATCCACTGAGCCAAACCGGTTCTGGCTCCACTCACATTTTAAAAAATCAACCTGTTTTTTTCTCCGCAAAAGAGAACCTTTATTCTGTACTACAAAAACGCAGTGTAACCTACCAATCCCACTACCTAAACAATCCAAATTTAGCAGTAATTTTGCAACCTACCAGTCACAATAAAGAAGTCAGTGATGGCTAAAAAGCAGACATGCTAAAATGACACTCTGAGCTAAATTCAAAATAACTGAAATTACAAGGTAAGTTTGCTTTTTATTACCCTAGAGTACAATGAATATGTTCTGAATAGTACCTTGCCCTCCTCTACTCTATGGTTAAGAAATTTCTGAGGAATAAAGGATATGAAAGAAAATTCATAGAAGAAATACAAATAACTAATAAATGTAAAAAAGCAGTGAGTTTAAATAATCCAAGAAACGTAAAAGAAATAAATAGTTTTGGTCTACTGCAGCAGCACAAATTATCATCATTTTAATAACAAAACAGGGACAAGGCAATGGATGTGTCACCTGGTTCAGCCCTTTTGGGAAGCAATCTGGGAACCTGTATCAAAACTTAAGGGGTGCCCTAGCCAGTTTGGCTCAGTGGATAGAGTGTTGGCCTGCAGACTGAAGAGTCCCAGGTTCAATTCCTGGTCAGGGCACGTGCCCGGCTTGCGGGCTAGATCCCCACTGTGGGGCGTGCGGGAGGCAGCCAATCAATTATTCTATCTCTTCCTCCCTCTCCCTTCCTCTGAAATAAAAAAAAATAAAAAATATTAAAAACAAACAAACAAAAAACCTTGCCCTGGCTGGTTTGGCTCAGTGGATAGAGCATTGGCCTGCGGACTAAAGGGTCCAGGGTTTAATTCCAGTCAAGGGCACATGCCCGGGTTATGGGCTCCATCCCTAGTAGGGGGAGTGCAGGAAGCAGCCAATCGATGATTCTCTCTCATCATTGATGTTTCTCTCTCTCTCTCTCTCTTCCTCCCTGCAATCAATAAAAATATATTTAAAAAACAAAACAAAAAAAGACCTTGTAAGCGGCCATACATACATTTTAACAAAGTAGCTTTTCTTTTAGAACTCAATCATAAGGAAATAATAAAGAGATAGAGTCAAGAATGTATAAAAGCTGTCCAGAGGTCAACCATAACATGTAAAAATGGACACTAAAATGTCCAACAGTTAAATTATGACTTGACTGTCAGACAAACTATTATGCAAACATTAAAAATCAATTCTATTTAGCCAGAGGAGGATGTTGAACCAGATAAATAGAACAGAATAATGGTTTCTCTTATCCTGAGAAAGAAAAAGTGATTATTTTAAAAGTATTTTTTTTTAAACGTGTAAAGATTCTTGTTGTGTATATGAGGCTATGAGGAATGAAAAAGAACCAAAGAATGAGAGCAAGTAGGATCTCAATTTTACAAAAACAAGAATCACATATAAAAATTTAAAAATATCTGAAGGGGAAAAAAAAACCACACTAATTTTGTACTCTCTTTCCCACATATTCTCTCTAAAAGTAATATGCACTTTTTATAATGAGATGGAAAAAAGAACTTACTGTGCGGTTTCTAATAAATAGAAAGACCTTCTGGGTCTGCTGTGGTCCACTGATGATATCTGGAAAACAAGCTGCTTCTTGAGAAGTCATCCGGTCATGAGGAAGTCTACTCTGGAACGCTGCACCCTCCACACCTAGCAAAGCAAGCAAAGGACTTCTGGGAAAACTGCAAGTGAATTCAGAATTAGGGATAATGATTATGCCTCAAACTCCTTTTGGACCTGAGAACCTCTGTAAAGCTTTGCCTCATTCACAGCCTGATTTCACTCACCTCCTTTAAAAAATAATTTGTTCAAAAGCTAAAACATCCTTAAAATTTAGTCACTCCAAAATGACAGTTTACTGAGTGAAACAATACACCTTATAAAACATGACATGGCATCAGACTATTTTTTCGTTGACAAAATAACTTGATAATGTTGGAGAATATGCTAATTAAAATTAGTATCACTAATAGTGTACAATAAATTTTAAGGGAAATACATAAACAGAAAGCAAAAGAACCTATGGAGTGAAAAACACAATCACCTGCCCTCTTTGAGGATTAGAGCAAGGAACATGAAGAGGCCTCTAAGGTTTAATAACGAATAGTATGAAATACGCAATCTCATCAATGGCATCCCCATTAGTTCTCGTAATTCGATGCTGGCAAGCAGTGAGAGAAGTTAAGCAGACTACAATGATGAGATAGAAGGCGGCAAGGAATTTACTTTTTCTGGCAGAAACATTAGAAATGGTGTATTACATATTGCAAGTAAAATATGGTACTGCATATAGTATATAGTACATATACATGTATATATACATGTAGCATATGTAATACATATACATGTAAGTATATCTCATATCCTATAAGTAAAATGTTATTTTGAACTCTTTAAAATGGGTATTAAATTGGTGTTTTTATATGCTGAAAGTTAAGTACATCTTTATAAGATGTCCTTAGACATACATTTATAAACATTTTACTTTATATTTCTAAGATCACTTTATAAAATATACTTAACCATCAGCTTAAGAATTATCAAGACACAATTCAAAGAGTATTAAATTCAATACCACTGAAATAATCACATATAAGTAACTAAATAGGTACCAAGTATCTATGTTTAATTACTTTAAAGCACTTAAGAAGTTGGAAGCACTGATAATAGAAGCAAAATTAAAAGAAAAGGTATTAGTAAGATTAGAAGAATAAAATGAACAAGGCAGGTAAAGTTACAACTTGGAAAATTATAGATAAGCTATTTAGGTGTTGCCACAAAGACATTCAAACACTGCCTAGAAAAGCAAAATGGTTAACAAGAGGTCAAACAAAAATGCCTAATGCTAATATGGGCTGCACATTAAAAAACACTGTTCTTGGAGACAAGGAGAAAAACCTATCTATCCACAACAGATAATGAGGGGAAAATACTGTTCAAATTACTAAATCAAATCAACAATCCTCACATTTAATGAATCCCAACCTAAAATTAAAGACTATCAGGATAATTGATTACTCCTAAAGAAAAAAATAATCAGTAAGAGCCATATTGCTGAGGATACAGCATGAAATTAAGGCAAGAAAAGAAGAAATGCTGACTATCAGGGGATATAGGTTATTTCAGTAATGTGAAAATTTTTAAAACTACTGCTTTGATGTCTCTAGTCCCCTATCACCAAATCAAAATAAACAAAAACCAAAACCAAGATAAAAAAAATGTCATATTATAAGGAGCATTACCTACAAAACAATAATAATAATCCTGAGTATTTGAACCAAATATCTCTTAATAGTTTACTTCTTGGTTTATTTCATGAGTGTCTACTATTAACATGAAAATCAATAAACTCTATAAACTCTACTTTTCTCCCTCCCCAAAATAGGGGTAGTTTTCTTTCTTAGCTATTATCTTCTCTATATTTAATTGGTGGTCACTGAACATCAATCCTATTGCAAAATACTATTGTCAATGACATGAAAACCATGTAGAAAAAACACTTAACTTAATATCACACCTGGCTCCTCATTCCAAGTGTTACCATAAAAAATCACTTTAATAACTCAGCAGATATGGTTCAATGGTTGAGCATCCACCCATGAACCAAGAGGTCACCAGATTGATTCCCAGTCAGGGCAACATGCCTGGGCTCTAGGCTGGATCTCCAGTAGGGGGCGTGCAGGAAGCAGCATATCAGTGTTTCTCTCTCTCTCTCTACCCCGCTCCCTTCCTCTTTCTAAAATCAATTAAAAAATATTTTTAAAAAAAGCATTCTAATGCAGCTGGCTAACTTTGGGAATCTTGAGAAGATGTAACAATTAAGAGATTTTATTTATGTAAGTGTGTGGCAGTTTTAAAGTATCTTTACATCAAATATCAAAAGTTTAAAAAAGGAACTTAAAGAAGCCATTTAAAGATGCCATTATCTGTGGAATAATAGTCTTCTCCATAACATCTAAAAAAGCTGGCTTTCTTAAATCATCAATTTTAAAAATGAAAAATGATCTCTTAAAAAAATGTTGGTAATTATGTCCTTCCTTTTGGTTTTTAGGGATAAAGACTATTATTTTCAAGGAAGGAAAGCCACTATTAAAATCAAGGCAAAAAGCCTGCAAGAAAAAAATCTAACCTTTTTTCACAAGAAACAAAAATTAATTTGGAACTTATTTTCAAAAGCTAAATTAAAACATCCTTTTTATAGGCTATTTTCAAAATGAACTAACAGACCACTCTGGATAATCTAACTCTTAAGTGTTCTCCTTTAGAGGGAAAACCTTAAAGAGTACAGTTGTTAATATCCTTATTAAAAGGAAGTTATCAGTAGTATAGATAATTCAAAAATAATTTACACTTGGCTCTGGAATACAGTTTTATACTTGGTGTTTGTGTGCACTAATCAGAATCTGGTATTCTAGAAATTGAGAATGTTTCAAAGATGCCATTTAATTTTTAAAAAGCCCCAATGTTGCCTACATACCAATCTTGCCCTTTATTCAGTTACTCTTTCTCACCATTTTACACAGGAAATTCTAGCTCACCTTTAAAAATGCAGTCATGCTACAAGCACAACTACTTTTTCTAATGGTCTGAGTGGCTCAACACTTTCTCTGAAAACATAGTAAAAATAGTTAAATTACTTAAGGGACTAATTTAGATCTCTCTGGATAGGTCAATTCTAGAGGCAGAAAAGGGGAGGGGAGACAGATAAAGATGTAGGCCTCCTGTTCCATGAACTCATTCCCCCATCCTGATTCTGATATAACAGCAGCATCTTGAGTAAGGAAACAGAAATACAAAAATTAATAAAGGTTTTTTATCATGAGTTACTTGCTTTTTTCTCCACCCCATAAAGTAGATAAATTAACTATAACTAGGTTTCTGACTAAAGAGTGAAAACAAAAGCCTGATAAGATCTACATATCAAAGACTACTTAAAGTCAGGCAACTATAGATGTACCATATTCAGTCTTATAATAGTTTACAAATAAAAAGAATAAAGAATGAAGGAAAGGAGAGAAAAGAATAAAAGAGGAGAATCATATGATTTCTTATGCTTTAGATGTTTTCTTTTTACGGGTAAATGCACATTTTAAGTGATTCTAGGAGGGAGTGTGTAATGAGTAGTCTATGCTTAAGAAACAAGACCTCTGGGTTCTCATTCCCCCAGCTGCTGGTGTATCCCTGGTCAAGTCATTTAACTTTGTTTCCAGTCCTAAACCATAAAATAGGGGTGATTCAATACTATCTGTTTGTCTAGGAAGCTAGACAAGATGACCTCAACTTCCCTTCTAATTTTTAAGATTTAGGATGTATACCCCAACTTGATTTGGATTTTTAAAAAGTCAAGATATGATCCCTGTCCCAAGACACTCATGAGGGTCATTGGCTTTATTTAGAGAAGATTGTTGATCACTTATAAGCACATTTCTAATACTGATTGATCATCGCACAAATGCATACTTCTGAACATGACAAAGGCCTGAAGGGAGATCTTGAAGGATTCAGAATAGTCACCACCATTCCTGGAAACACTTAAAACTCATGTTCTACTCATGTTAAGTCTGTAGCACCACAGCTTTATATGAAAGTTTGCTTTTCCTTTCAGCAATACAATGTTTTGTTTCTTTAGCAAGAGTAAATTTATTCACATAAAAACAAAACAAAAAGCAACAAGAAAACTCAGTATAGTTCTTCAAGATTAAAGCTCTAAAGGCTATCCCTGACCCTCAACAATTCCACGGAAGATCCAACTGTGCATCCTTCGATGAAAAACATTCTTGAAAGTCTGGCTGAATAAGGATTTTTAACTCCTCTAAGATAACGATATACTGGTTATCAATTGCCAATCCTTGGGCTAGCATTTAAAGAAATCTGTTTCTAATATTCTGAATCCCCTAAATATTAATTTCTGTATAACGCTGAACTATCTTTGCTCCAAGAGTAAAATACAAATACTCCCTGGACCTGCTGCACACAAACTACAATAGAGAAATAATTTTAAAGTAGAAGTAACAATTGAAAAATGACATACTACAAAAATGGAGTAATACCTACTCCAATTGTATCAATATGTAAAAGCAGCCTTGACACCAGAACACAAAAACATTCTTTAAGAGGCAAAGGATAAAATGCAGACATAGTACTTTGGATTCCTGGACCAAACTTTAACTGTTCCAAATGGGCCCTAAAAGTCATTTAACCCTTTATTTCCCCCTAGAAGTAAAAATCCCATAGTTTGGTCTGAAAATAAAGAGCATCTCAAAGCAGACTTTAAAAAATAATTTTCATGCAAGAAACAAAATGTTTAAACTGCAAAATAGTTAACTGTGCAATGTTAGTTGAAAAAAATTTACCCCACACTATGCAACAACCATTCTAAAATGAGTCACTTGCCTGCATAATTTCTGACTAGTCCTAGAATGCCTTTCTGTCCTGTTTTTAAAAGACTTTCAGCCTACAGACTGTCCTCTTTATGTATACAGCTATATTTCTTTTTAAAGGTCCCATGATTCCTAAGTCTATGTTTTATGTCACGTTTACTGATACTACATAAGCTGCTGGGGAGAAAAGTATCCGCCATCTCCTTAAAAACACAAAGAGCGGAGGGCTGAGATCGGCCTGAGGACTTCAAAAGGTTTTGCTTGCCTTGCTCTAGCTACACTCTCTCCTAATACTACTCTGTCCTGTGGGTTAAATTTCCCCTGCGCTTCTGGCTAAAATGTGGATACCACAGCCAAAAACACTTGCAAGCATCAATCCCTGACTTGGCGGCTCTTGCTACTAAGTGGCAAGCATCTAAGCCACCCTCACCTGATGCTTGGCCGTCTCCATACCCTCCAGAACTGTCGTCTTGAAGTCCTCCTGCTTGCCCTGTGGAAGGAAAGAGGAGAACTCAGGGACCTTACTCCATAAATTGAGATAATATCTGGACATAAAGGCCTAATAGTTGGCGACTATCAATTCACCACCAACTAGTAAACCCATATTCAGAGAGCTCCTTTGGAATCAAGGCCCAGGGAATCACATCATAGTCTTCAAATTTCTGGTTAGGAAATTTCAACTTTACACACTGGTTCTTATTGAAAGGTAGCAAGACAAAGTACATAATATTTCTAATTGCTAAATCCTTACTGTCAGTCTTATTTAATAGTCAAGGTTGGATAGGGGGGAAAAGGGATTCCCAATGTCTTTTACTAATTATTGGTAGACTGAGAATGGGTGTGACATGGGCTCTAGGATCTGAAGTTGCAGCAATTCAGCATCTGGTCAATATCTCTTTATCTTTACTTTTCTATCTAAAAATATATATATATGATAAGTAAAAGACTTATTTTAACGAAAAATTCTCCCCTTGACTTCAAAGCAGAATATGTAACAAAAAAATTCAATTACAAAAAAGTTTTACCAGAATTCAATCCTAGATCTGAATATGCCAGTGCTTTCTTTAAAATACAGCATAATAAGATG